GCTTTATCTCACAATCCATCATTCCCAATTCTTCTCCCACCAAATCCTACCGTCGCAGAAAATCTGCTTCAAGCTTTCTTTTACTTTTTCTTCTTTCCCGAAAATCACTCGTTTTTCTTTGTTACGTTTTCTTTTTTCTGCCATTATTGTGCTTTCTTTTCCCTTTCTTCTTTCCGAGTTACAGAACCTAACCTCTATCTCTCTCTATTTCTCAACTCTTGTTGGCAAAATTAAAAAAACACCGGCGGCGGCGGCGCTAGCACAACGAGCGGAACCGGCGAGCGGTGAAAGGCATGGTGATGCAACGAAACGGTGAAAGACGAGCGAATGCGTGCGGAGGCACGTCAAGTGGGACGGCTGAGCGGTCATTCGACCCAAACCACCGATTTGAGCTTTGGAGGTACAACTACAAATCCTCCGGCGAGAATCGAGATTGACACGCCGGCGCCTTTAGACTCCGTGAAAGAGGCAGAGAGAGCAGCTTCGGCAGCACGAATTTCTGGAAACCAACCTCGCAAAAACCGTCCGAGCATACGTCTGAGGTTGTCCGGGGGCTCGCCGTGAATTCTGAGAAGAGTGTTCCCAGAAAATTGGAAAGTGTTGGGTTGAGGTTTGCCGATGAAGGCAGAGAGTTGAGAGAATGAGGTTGTAAGCGAGCGGATTGGATTTCGTTGTCTCTTCCTTTTATTGTCGGGAGTTTTGCGGAAGTTGAGTTGTAGATTCCCTTGAAAGTATCTTTCATCGCATAACGAGGTCACAAATATTTGAGAATTTCAACTTAATTGTTGTTTTCTCTCTGCCATTAGGTCATTCATGGAAATTGATGCTCGCCATCCGTTTCTTTTTCCCACTGACAGGTATGTTCAGACTGTTTCCATTTCCGAATTAGAGACAAAATTGCATAGGGAATAACGAGTTCACTATGCTGGTTGGATTTGATGACGCAGAAGGTGATAATGGTTGACGGAATTGAAGGCGCATGCCACTTTCTTAGGAACGGCCAACGCGCCGGAGACAATGGTTGAGATGTACTGTACGACTATGAAGGGCGGCGTTGCCATACGTTATCTTCAATCGAGTCTGAAAAATGGCGGCCAGGTTCGATTGACACTTTACTTTATGTACTAAATTCCTCCTACTTTGGTGTTTGTGTGTCCTATTATGTTCGAACCAAAT